AGGCCAATCTCCAGCATCTATAAACAACGGTGTTGATGGCAGCGTTGAACAGAACATGCCTCTTGGACAATTGGGATTTTCCATTAGTGTCAAGCTAAAATAAGGGCTGCAACAGGTGATATTTTTTCTGTGTTCCCAGGTGTGCTGTGGCTGTGTGTCGTTGCAGAGAGTCTGTACCTCGGTCTGCTCTTCATAGGCGGAGTTCTCCTGATTATGGAGCAGGGTTCCTGCTTCAGCGTCATGAACAAGTTAAAACTCAGTGCCTTCGCCGCCATGTGCACTGCTCTTTCAGGTAAAAGCAAAACAATCTAATAAGTGACAGATCTATGAAGGTGGTGGGGATGGGGGAGTTTCTTCCAAAAGGAAACTTTGGCATCAACAGGCAGCTTATTAATGTCTTTGTTCTTTTATATCCTGATTTCTGTGCGAATTGGACATTTTAGAGGTTCGCTTATGTCAATGCAACGGGATTTACCGTAATGTTATTAAAGAAGCAGTGCAGCAGCTCAGTGTGGTTGAATATGATGAGACTGACAGTCAAGCATCAGAAAAGCTAACTGATCTGTGGCCACTCGCTGCCTAGGAGGATTTACTGGTTTGTAGAGTAATCGGATTGGAACCGGGGCAGCGGGTTTGGACTGTGCCAAGATCCGCCCAAATGACCTCCCTCCCGCCCCCTCTGACCCCCCATCCCCGCCCCCACTCCCACACACAGTGCCGTACTCCTGAATCCCATGCTATCCCATCCCCCCTGTTGTTCTGTGTTAATCCCAGAAAAAGCAGCAGCAGAGACTGAGTGAGAGTCGGAATGATGTAGAGTTCCCTCACCCCGCCGTTGTTATAATTCACATGGTTCCTCCTAAATCTGGAAAACTCTGAGAATTTCCCAGATTTAGGTACTTTCCAGCTGTGGATGATGATTAAAAAACTGTTAAAACTGTGGAAACATGCGTGTGTTTAAAGAGTAGACGAGTTCATCTGTCAACCTGTCTTTAAACCCACACAGCTGTTTGTCCCTCCTTCCGTCTCTCCATCCATCCATCCATCCATCCTTCATCCATCCATCCATCCATCCATCCATCCATCCATCCATCCATCCATCCATCC